CACATTTGACCAGCAGCTCATGCGCTGACAGCACAATGGCTGGCTTGACTCAGGCCCTGAGAAATGAAATAGAAAATTCATAGCAAACACATCTTTAGCTCTTCCACATCATCAGGGGGTGTGATTCATTTCCGTCAACAAAGGGGTCTGAAATGGTGTCTAAACATGCTGGGGACTCACCTCCGTGTGGAACTCTTCAGGAAAAAGGGGATCAAATCTCATGAAGCAACTCTTCTCTCTTCTAGCCCATGGGCAATGCAAGGAACCTGCATGTTACCAGAGGCTCACTCTCTCTTCTCATGTCTTCTGGAAAGGATTCATGAATGCTTCCTTCAAGGTGAAGCAGAAGCCTGCATTCCCAGCTGCACAGAAGTGTTTGAGGGCAGTGTCTCCCTTAAAACCCAAGAAGAAAAAACAGGTCTTTAAACAGGCATATGGAGTAGAGTACATAATCAATGATCCCTCCTCTCTGGAGCCTTCCACACGCCCATCTTCCACATTCACAGAGCAATGCTTGGCCATTCTCAAAGACCAGGAGACCATGATGCTCATCACCAGGAAGTCAATAAGGAACATGAAGAGAGCAGCATGGATTGCAGAAGGTGGCACACAAAGGATCTTCAGCTCTGCTGCTAGAACACAAGACCTTAACTTCAGTATTGACTTTCTGCCACCTGCCAAGTACGATGTTAGTGTCAAGCAGAACATGCAGACATGCAAGTAGCAGGTGACACCCCACATCCATTTACAGAAGTGGGCAACATCTGCATTGGAACAAGGAAGTATCTTATCCTTAGTCATAAAAATCATCAGAAACAAAATAAAATGGATGCAAATCTTCTCATTTCACTATCATGTAGCTGTTGGAATTCCCAATTAAATAATACCTCCTCCAAAATAAAAAGTATCTCAGACATGTGTCAACTATCAATGGATGACATTTAAAAAACTACGCCCTTTACTTAATATTTATGTATGCTATAGCCCTGCCTAAGGCTCTTTGGGAAAGGAGCACATAGAATTGGATCTTTGAAAATCTCACATTTGCTGATAAATATTACTGCTGATGTGAAGGCATGGCAAAGTAAAAAGTGGGACTTTGGGTACTCAAAGGACGCAATGTGTGGGATTGCTGTCCCTGATTCATACATAGCATATGGTTTCTATGAAAGCTGGTGAGGGAGCAGGAGTAACAAAGCTGAACAGGTGACCTCAGGGGAGACTGGTGGATAGGACAAACTGAAGAACATGTTCCAGCTAACAATGGTATTTGGGCTCCTGAGCCCAGACCTGTTTTTAAAAAAGGTGCAGATAGGCAGTGTTCATGTACAAAACATCTACTGTTTAAAAGTAATTTCAATGGCATCTAGTTACACATCTTATACAATGAAATTCATAAATTGGCAGATCATTTTAACAAAAAAACATGATACATACAAAGATAAAACCTTGTCTTTATCAGGACCTCTAGAAATATGTTTTATTTGGCTTAGATGCAAATATCTTTCAATAGAATTTCTGATACCTGAAGGACCTTATTCAATATTATACTGTACAGATCACAAGGCTTTCTTTATAGAATATTCTCTTCTTAAAGCCTCACATAGAAAATGTCTCACAGGACATAGGAGAGGAATGACCTAAAGGATGAGAGAATGGCTGGAACCATTCTCAAATGAGCACATATACCCTGAAGTTTGAAGGTAATTGTACTCTAAAACAATTATAAACCTATTTGATCCATTAATTAATAAATATCACCACTTTACCATTTAAGCCAAATCACAGAAAATTGGAAACACATGATCACTGGCTTTGATACCTTTACTTCCATTTCATTACCCAGAGATGATCAACTCTATACTTCAAGTGATGCAGATTTATTACAGAATGCCTAAGATCCTAAGGATCTATTTTAGCTCAGCCCATGGTATTGCTTCATTATTTTATGATTTTGTAAGTAATAAAATGTAATTTCATGTTGGATGATATATTCATGGTTTGAATATATGAATATATCATATACTCATCCAAAATTGTTCTTCCCAAAACAATAGCCCAATTTCTGTGCTTCCTCACTTACTGTTCAGGAATTGTACTAATTGTTTGAGGGTTCTAGAGGACCTGTTAGACTCCTAATGGACAAACAATCCAACATACTCCAGAGAACAGACGAGTGCCATAATAAGAAAATAAGGTCAGCCTACAGCAATGGGCAGCTGCCTGCCCTCGGCTGGGAGGAGCCCTGGCCATGGCACCAGGGCTGCTGGGCAGCAGAAGCCTCCACAGCCCTGCAGGGAGCCTGGAGCACAGCTCTGCAGAACCATGCTCAGCCCTGGATAGATGCACATGAGTTCCCATCACAGGCTAGAGTGTGGCAGTCCCAGGTGCATGCCTGTTATGCCAGCCACCAGGGAGGCTGAGGAAGAGGAACCTTTGAGGTCAGCCTTGGCAACTTGACCCCATGGCAAAGGGGAAAAAGTTTACAGGGGTCACTGAGAGTGGAGCTCAGGTAGGTCACTTGCCTAACAGGCTCAAGGACCTGGGTTCAATCCCCAGAACCACACATACACCAAAAAGTGACCTTGGAACATGGTTTAAAATGATGGGTCAGGCCCAGTGTCTCTAGCTCTATCCTTAATTGTGGGCTGGCTTCATCCTAGATGGCATCAAGATAGTTAGCATTCAGGTCTTTCCACATTTTCAATTCCTGGGAATGATGATTTCCAGGTCCTAGGATGGTTGCTTACCACATAGCACATCTGTATCTCTAACTATCCCTTATCAAGTGGAAATATTCTACTACATCTCCACAATCATTCATCCATAGGTCCAAAAGTCCAAAAAGTTCTGAAACTTTAGTTTTTTCCCCCCTACGTTTGGTACAAACACAATTGGCATTACATACTGACCCACACCAATTGCTGTAAGACTATAGCATTATTCCATTTAGGATGGAATACATACATGTTTCTCCACAGAATAATCATGTTTGGCTCCAAGATATATAATCCTACCAAAGAAGGTATTATGCAATATAGGGTTTTAATAGAGATGACAAATTCCTATTACCTAATCACATTGGAGTCACTGTGTGTCTTAGTACAAGGCATAAATCACAGGTTATGGTAATGCTGATGTAAACAAAAATATACACTGTTAACTATATCAAACTTAGCAGTACATTTATATACAGTACTTAATACTTGAAAATACACTGCT